AGGTCAGCAGGCTGAACAGTAACATTGGGCAAGTTTGGATGCTGAGCTTGCTCTTGTCCTAGAGGTGGAACTGTCACCTCATTATGGACTGGAGGTTGTGCTACAACCTCCTCGGGTGGCTCTGGAGGCTGAACTGGGGCCTCCTGCTGGGCTGGAGGAGTTTCTGCCTCCTTAGAGGGCTCTGGAGGTTGAGTTGGAGCCTGCTGCAGAATTGGAGATGGTTCTACCTTCTCAGGGGCCTCTGAAGGCTGAGCTTGTACCTCCTGTTGTGTTAGAGAAGGTTCTATCTCCTTAAGTGGCTCGAGAGGTAGAGATAGGGTTTCCTGCTGGACTGGAGATGGTGCCACCTTCTCAGGAGGCTCTGAAGGCTGAGCTAGGACCTCTTGGTGGCCTGGAGAAGACTCCTCTTCAGGGGACTCTGGAGACTGGGAAAGACGCTTGGACTGAGCTGGAGAAAATTCAACTTGCTCAGGGGGAGATTGAGCAGGGACATCCTGCTGCACTGGAAGAGGTTTAACCTCCTTAGTTGCCTGGGGACTTATGAAAACCCTCAGATCCACAGGTTTAACTGTGATATTAGGCGACACTGGATGCTGAGCTTCACCTGGACCTGGAGGTGAGAATGTCACCTCATGCTGTACTGGAGACTGAGCTACAACATCTGTAGAGGACCCTGGAGGCTGAGCTGGATGCTCATACTGAACCGGAAAAGACTCGACCCCGTCATTGGGCTTTGGTTGCTGAGCTGGGACCTCTTGCTGGATTGGAGAAGGTTCTCTACTTGCAACAGGCACTTGAGGCAGAGCTGAGCTCTCCTGCTGGCTTGGAGAAAGTTCAATTTCCTCAGGAAAATCTTCGGGTGGAGTTGAGACTTCATGCTGGACTGGAGAAGATTCAACATTTTCAGGGGGCGCTGGATGCTGATGTGGGACCTCCTGCTGGGTTGGAGAAGGCTCCAACTGCTCAGGGGACACTCCAGACGGAGCTGAGGCCTCTTCTCGGAGTGGAGAAGCTTCAACCTCATTAGTGGATTCTGAGGTCATGGTAACTGAGGAATCCACAGGTTTAACAGTGACATTAGGCAACAGCAGGAGCTGAGCTTGATTCTGACCTTGAGGAAAAACTGTTACCACCTGATGCTCTGGGGAGTGAGCTGGGGCCTCCTGTTGGGTTGGAGAAGGTTCAACCTCACCAGAAGGCTCCTGTTGAGTGGCAGAAGGGTTAATTTCCTCAGAGGTCTGTGGATGCTGACTTGGGGCCTCCTGATAGGTTGCAGGTTTAACTTCCCCAAGGGGATTTGGATGCTGAGTTGTGGCCTCTGACTGGGCTGGAGAAGGTTCAGTCCCCTCAAGGGGCTCTGGATACTGAGTTGGGGTCTCTGGTTGGGTTGGAAAAGGCTCACCCTCCTCTGATGCCTGAGGATACTGAGCTGGAGCCTCCTGCTGGGTTGAAGAAGGTTCAACCTCCTCAGGGGTCTGTGGATGCTGAGCTGGGGACTCCTCCTGGGTTGTAGGTGGTTCACTCCCCTTGGAGGCCTGTGGGTGCTGACCCTGGCCCTCCTCCTGGAGAGGGGAAGGTTCACCCTCTTCCTGGGCCTCTGGAAGCTGAGTCGGGGCCTCCTCCTGGGTTGAGGATGATTCACCCTCCTCAGGGGCCTGTGATTGCTGAGCTAGGGCCTCCTGCTGGGTTGTAGAAGGTTCAACTTCTCCAGGATATTCTGGATACTGAACTGGGGTCTCCTGCTGTGTTGGACGTTTCTCCTGTGTGGTAGATTCTGGAGATTGCGTTGGAATCTCCTGTTGAACTGGCAAAGATTCAACCTCAGGGGACTGTGGAGGCAGAGTTGGGGCTTCAGGCTGGGTTTCAAAAGGTTCCACATTAAGAGGCACCGAGGGCTGAGCTATAGTCTCGTGCTGAACTGGAGAAGGTCCCACCTCTGTAGTGGGTTCTGCAGTCATGGTAAGCTGCACATCTGGAGGTTTCAAACTGACATTGGGCAGGTTTAAATGTTGATCACGGTAGTGACCTGGAGGTGAAACTGTCATCTTATGATGCCATGGAGGTTGAGCTGGGTGCTCCTGCTGGGTTGGAGAAGGTTCCACCTCCCTGGAAGGCAGCTCTGGAGGCTGAGCTGGTTGCTCTTGCAGGGTTGCAGAAGATTCTATCTCCCCTGGAGACTGAGCTGGAGTCTCCTGCTGGGTTGAAGATTCTGCCTCATTAAGGAGCTCTGCAAGCTGAGCTGAGACCTCCTCCTAGGTTGGAGAAAGTTCAGCTTCTCCAAAAGGGTCTGGAAGCTGAGCTGCGGGTTCCTGTTTGCTTAGAAAAGGCTTAGCTTCCTCAGGAGGCACTGAAGGCTGAGCTGGGGTCTCCTGCTGCCTTAGAGAAGGATCAATCACCCCAGGAGGCTCGGAAGGCTGAGCTGGGGTCTCCTGCTCACTTAAAGGCTCAGCCTCCTCTGGAGGCTTACCCGAGGTCTCTTGCTGGGTTAGAGAAAGTTCTGCTTCCTCAGTATGTTCAAGAGGCTGAGGTGGGGTCTCTTGCTGGGCTATAGAAGATTCAACACCTTTATCAGGCCCTGGAGTTGTGGTAAGCTCCACATCTAAAGGCTTACCTGTAGCCCTGGGAAACATTAAATAATCTGGATACTGACCTAGAGGTAGAGATGTCACCTCATCACTTATTGCAAGTTGAGTTAAAGACTCGATAGGGAACTCTGGAACTAGAGTTGGGGCCTCCTGCTGGACTGGGGTAGGTTCAACCTCCTCGAGGCGCTCTGCAGGCTGAGCAGGGGCCTCCTGCTGGACTGGGCTGGGTAGGTCCAGCCTCCTCAGGGTGCTCCGCAGGCTGAGTTAGAGTTATGGTAAGATCCAGAGGTTTAACAGTGACATTGGGGAAGCTTGGCTGCTGAGCTTCACTCTGACTTGGAGATAGCACATTTACTTCATAATGTGCTAACAGTTGAGATATGATGTCCTTAGATGGCTCTGGAGGCTGAGCAGGGGCCTCCTGGGGGGTTGGAGAAGGTTCCACTTCCTCGGGGGCCTCTGTAGGCTGAGCTGAGGCTTCCTGCTGGACTGAAGAAGGTTCGACCTCTTCAGGGGTACTTGAAGGCTCAGCTGGGGCCTCTTGTGGGTTTGCTGAATTTCCATCCTTAAGGGACTCTGGACGCGGAGATGGAGCCTCCTGCTCAAGTAGAGATATTTCTGTCTCTTGAGGGGGCTCTGCATGCTGAGCTTGAGCCTCCCCTTGGGGCAAAAAAGATTCAGCTTCCTCAGGGGACTCTAGATGATTTGGGGTCTTCTGCAAGGGTGGAGGAATTTCAGCCTCCTCAGAGAAGTTTGGAAGTTGATCTGGTCCCCCTGGGAAACCCATAGGTAGGTTCTCCTCAGGATATAGAAGACCCATATTGGAATCCAAATAATCATCCTGCAGCTGTTGTTGTAGGTGCTCTTTATTTGCAGATTGGTTTGGAGTTCCAACAACTTTGGCAAGCCTTCGATGCTGAGCTAGATCTTTCTTCAGGTTTAGGGGTGAAACAATAAACTTTGTTGGCTTTGAACTCTGACTATCCAGAAATGGAACAAGTATTTCAAATGATTGGTGATCTTCGGCCTGATCTAAACCTACAGTTTTAGTCTTACTTTTGAGTTGAGGAGGCGGAGCTATGGTCTGATTCTGATCCCAACCTGGCATTGGAACCACCTCTGGGAGCCTTTGATGCTGGGTTAGCTGGTCATTCAGATCCTCATCTGGCCCTGGGGGTAGTTCTCCAACGGAATCCGTGTCCAGGAATGGAACCAAAGTCTCAGTCAACTCCTTAGGCGGGGCCAACATCTGGGCTGGAGCAGAGG